GCCCTCTGGCCTTTGGATGGAGATTTACTGCTGATCACAGAACCGTGCTTCACTGAAAGATACGCATGACAATTGCAGCTTCTGTCGAATCGCGATCTCGATTCCATTTCGATTTATCGTGCAGCCCTAAGTGAAAATCAAGTTTTTTATGTTGTTTATTTGTCTTTGTGGTGTTTTTAATATGCTGTTTCCCAATGGCACTCCCAGAAATGTGGTTTGAAACAGCCCTAGGTTTGCTACGCCACAAACCAATAACCAATCACCTCAAGGGATCGATTCCTATCAGCATTTAAATATGTCATTTTGATTATCAAAGATAAGTTTTAAGGGATAAAATATTTGACTACAGGGGGACTTTTAAGTACTAAAATTACTAAAACTGAAAGAAAAATTAAGCTAAATAGAAATATACAAAAAAAATGTATATTAAAAAAAGTTCAACTGAAATTGAAAATACAAAAATAAAAGCTAATTCAAAAGATTAATAAGTATTACAATATATAAATAATAGGGGTGTGACGAGACACTTATCCCACGAGACGAGACGAGACTGGGTTCACGAGAACGAGACGAGATGAGATTTTTAGACTTTTTAAAGAAATCCTCAATGATGAAATATATAGGGAAAAATAGTCTTTTATTCAACTGAAAAACACAAAATGCAAAAAATGTAGGTGCATTTTGAAATCAACTTGTACTTTATGAAATTAAACTTCCATTTGAATGAATTATATGCAGCAATAAACAACATGTAAAGTTAAACACTGCAAATTGTTTTGCGAGGATATCGTCACGTTCTCACAAGACCAGTTGGATCTCGCGAGATCTCGTGCCACGAGATCTCGTCACATCCCTAATAAATAATACTAAAATAACACTAATTTCAAGCTTTCAGATCAAAATATTTTAAAATCCTGAGCAAGCTGAAATGACTATAAGACTAAAATAACAGTCATTATTTTATTTTTTTTGCATGACATCATACCTCGGTTATCCCTTGCAGGCGTTTCATTTTTCGGTGGCGCTACTGTTCGACGATTCTAGAAATGATGAATCCAAGAAAATAAACATGTTTCATATAATCCAATTTGCACCATCTTTTCATTTATCTACAATATACATCTAAACATTCAAAGTGAATTCATGCCACATTACCGCCTACTAGTTGCTACATGTATACAGTAATTTACGATGGTAGTTTTACTTTCCATTAAATGGAAAAAAATGTAAACTATTATAATTTAGTAGTACAACTCATTCATATTTTTGTAGTATATTTTTATAGATAGATAGATACACACACACACACACACGCAAGGGCTTATGGGTAACATAGGATGCCACAATGCAAGGTATTTTAGTGTTTTTTTATGTTTACGACTAGTAATTACCCAGCCAGTATTGATTTGACCATAAAAACTGGAAACAGTTTTTTATGACTTTATGACTCCTGTCTAGAAATCCATCTGAGAAGTTATAAAAACCATATTGAGTGCACTACAATCATCTGTCTGTCTGCTGCTGTGCTCATTCCTACTCTTGATTACGACTATTATGGTGTAGCGAAACGGACACAGACCTTGTTTTGAGGGATCTTGTTGATTTTGATGGCACTGGACACGGGTGGCGGAGGGGTCTCAGGACTTTGTGGGATTTCCTCTTCAGGTGCAATGTCTGGATTTAGTGCAAATACGCTCTCCAGATCGATCTGTTCACGGAGAATAAGAGCACGAGCATCAGGCTGCCAGTTTTTAAAAGCACTTCTACTCACGGCACACAGGATTTTCCACAGTTGTAAAAGCTGCTAAAAATAATCATCCCACAGGACACAGAACAAGATCTCAGTATCTCAGCTGTTTCTCCAGCAATGAGATAAAATAGAGACTCCTATGAAGATCAGAAAGTGCGCTCAGATTTGCCTCAGAGATCTCAATATGAACTCAAATATTTCTCATCAAACTCTTTCAGGATCAAATGATCTGAGCTGCAATCCATATTCATGTTATACCACTATTTCTCATGAGGACTGGTTGGAGAAACATCTGAGATTAAGTTGATATTTAGCTGTGAAAGAGCAACATGTGAGCAATAAAACCTTTGTCTAGGTTCTTATATTTCATACACACATTAATGCACAGCATTTAATAACTAAAGACTGCTGATAAACCTGGAAGCTATTTAAGGCAGAGGTACAAAAGCTGCTTTAGAATAAATCTCCCTTGATTCTGACACATAAGTGTGTCTCTATTACATATGTACAACTACAAAGACAAACAACCATGAATGAAACATATGAGCTTTTGTCTTTAGTGCATTATGATGGACATACTGAATATGATTATCAGACATTCACCTCTTTCCCTTTTGTGTCTCCGTTTTCAATCCACTCCACCGTCACGCACTCATTGTCTTCGTTCAGTGACGTCACCATGGCCTGGTGGATTCTTCCTGGAATACATAATAAAACAACAGTTTACTGCAGAAATCTGCAGCTCTATGAGAGCACTACAAACACTTAAAGGGGTCATATGATGCTTTTTTAAAGATCATTATTTTGTGTATTTGGTGTAACAGAATATGTTGACATGCTTTAATGTTCAAAAAGAAACCACGCCTTCTTTCTTTGCGTGCACATTTGGGCGGCATTATGCAAATATTTCCACATAGTGAGGTAGATATGTGGGGGCGTGTTAGAACGAGCCGTTTTAGGGGGGTGTGGCAGAGTCTTAACTTTGATAAAGAATATCTCTTTGGTTTTGAGACTTTAGTCTTTGCAACTTCAGGGATCTTATCTATGCACAATCAGCTTGTAACACTCCAAAGAGAAAGGAAAACTTGAAATCGCATCATATGACCCCTTTAATAAAGCCCCAAAAAAGGAGCTAAATGGGTCCATAATCCATAATAACACGTCCTCCAGTGAAATAGTTCATCACATCAAAATCCACCCACATATTTGTTGAGAACTGTTTCGGCTTACAAACAGTGTTTAATCTGTGCACATTTCTCTCCTGATTCAGATGAGATGACTTTTTCACTGAAGGTTTAAGTTAAAAACATCTTGATGGATTTATTTCTTACAAACTTGCAGATTTTTTGTTTCACAAGACATTAGTTGATGGACTGGAGTGGTGTGGATTATTGTGATGTTTTTATCAGCCGTTTGAACTCATTCTTAGGGAACTCATTCACTGCAGAGAATCCATTGGTGAGCAAGTAAAGAAACAAACTCATCTACAGATGGCCTGAGGGTGTGTAAATTGTTTTTTTTAGCAAATTTTCATTTTTTGGTGAACTATTCCTTTAAATGTGTGCTCAGGTCTCGAACCTGCAACCTTCTACTTACAGACCCTATGCCTGCATAACTACACCGCATTGTATTAAAAATAGGCTATTATGTATAATGTGTATTATTTTGTGTTTATTTATAATTAACACGGTTGAGTTATTAGCTTACTAACTATTGTACTACAGTTTCAAATGAATTATTTGTCTTGTCTGTAATATACATGGCAGAAAAATGAAATTTGGCTTAACTTTAGACTTCAGGCAAATTCCTGAAATGACAACAAACTAAACTAAAACACAAAGTTCAACTAAAACAGCAGTACAAACGAGTTTTGCAGGCGATGTCTCTGGGCGTCTTCCTCGAGGATGATGCTAACAGACTGCGAATTTATTAATGTACTATGGCGAAGGGTTGGCTTATGAATATTAATTACGTTCCGTGACGTCTCCCCAGTATGTTTCTCTGATTGGCTGAAATCCTCACATCAGCGATTAACGTTCTGCTGACGTATTGGCTCACGACTAACAATTTGATTCCGCGCCTAGACGCTCGAACGCGGTTACCAAGCAACGTCAGGAGGACTTCATTAATATTTAATGAGTCAAACCTCTGCCATAGTAGCATTCGTAAATTCGCTAACGGGTTAGCAGGAGCATGCATCCCAAAAACAGGCAATAAAACGGCGTGCCAAGGACGGAAGGGTATTGCATGTTTATGCACAGGCCTATATCGAGCCTCTCCCGTCGTTTGCACCAGATGTCTTGCGTTAAACGGGTTTACCGGGTTAAACAAAGATGATGCACCGACAAACTGCATCTCAGCCTGATAAACGAGCTGCTGCTGGGTGTGACTCACCATCACTGCGCTTGATCTCCACATAAATGCCGATCTGGATCTTCCCGAAGAGAGCTGCCATGCCTCATGTGTGTGCCTGGATCTGTATGGAGGATTTTGGGCGGCTTTCACGGGAGAAGTTGATCAGCGGCTGCGGCGCAGCAGAAACCGGGAGGAGGTCAGGAGGGAGAGAAGGATGAGCGCGCATGCGCAGAGCGCTCACACACCCATCACAGAATGTCACATCAGCCTCTTTTGTCTAGTTGCATTGGACGCACTGTCCAACAGTTTTGTTTTGTTTTTCTCCAATATGTTGATTATTTTTCTTTTTTCTTGAGCAAGATTGCTTTTAATTAACATTATTTTTTAATAAAAAATAAAATGAAACAAGATGTCAAAAAAGTGTAATATATATATATATATATATATATATATATATATAGATGTATGCTTTCTTCCTAATAAACTATATTTATATCGTATATTCAATCTATTATCTTGACATAAAATCTGTTGAATTGCTTCCATTTTAACTGTAAATAAAATGAATTTAAAATATTTAATTCCTAAGGATGTAACTTAAATCATATGATTTTTTTTCAGAGATACACATGATGGCAGCAAAGGGCTGGTTTGCGTGAAATGCGCTGAAAGAAACAACATCAGTGGGAAATAAAAGAGTTTAATTATGAGGAAACCTCATTGTTCAGTGATTTATTGTTTTACATAACTTTTAAAACTTAAGTAAACTACTTTTGTGTGAGCAATAATCTATAAAATAAACATTTATGCATTCAGTAACTAAAAATATACATTGCTGTTCAGATGTTTTGGGTCAGTAAGATTCGTTAAAGCAGAAATAAAAAAATTGATCCAGAAAGGATGCATTAGATTGATCAAAAGTGAGAGAAAATACATTTATAATGCTACAAAAGTTTTCTATTTCAGATAAATGCTGTTCTTTACCGTTATGTTAATCAATAAATACTGAAAAAAATGGTTTCATGCTTTTTTTTATTTTTTAACATTGATAATAAGTAATGCTTCTTGAGCAGCAAATCAGCATATTAGAATGATTTCTGAAGGATCATGTGACACACACACACATATATACATATCATTTATATATATCAGCACTTTTATATATAAATTAACTATGAAAATATGTTATATCATTCAAGTACAGGTCTATTTTGTACTTGTACATTTTGTATAGTATTACACTTCAAATTATTAAATATATATATATTTTTAAAAGCTACACCCGACCCTTAATTGTCTTGTTTAACCCTTTTGGAAAATTATTTATATGTCACACTTTTACTTTACTGAGGCAGAAATCAAACAAGCACCTGAGAAACTCACATGTAGTATTGGATTCAGTTTGAACCCTAATGTGTTACAGCCGGCAATGTTTGAAGTGAACACTAGACGCAGGTCTTCTGAATTAGGGAATGTGCTGTACGTGTGAGCTGGAAACATCTGTCAGACGCAGACACTTCCTCACCTCCTTTGCCTTGAACTGTGCTGTCATTCTTCTGTATGATGACAATCCATTGGTGGAGATGAATGAAGCGGGCCGCTCTCGCTGTCAGCTGAACGCACCTCTTCAGTCCCGGGTGGGTTCGTCATCACTCTCTCATCATCTGTTTCCCCAGTAACAGTCAACCGGCCCTGCCACAGTCTCAGAGAACTGACTTTATACAGGAGCATATTGTTACCGAATGCAATGAAATGCATGCAATTTTAAGACCTTCTTATCTGTAACACACATGCAGTCTTATTTATCTTTATATCTGACAAATGTTTTCAATTAGGCAACAGTTTAAAAGCAAACTGGCGTTCATCACATTGGTCACTAAAGTCAGTGGTTCATAAAGAAGCAAACAAATGAAGGCAGATTTCTGCTCCAAGTCATGGCAGGTTTCCCGGGTTTAATTAATGTCACGCAACCTCAGACTCCAGTGTGTAAGTCGCAGTGGAAATGAGGGGAAAGAGAGAGAATAAACCCAAAAGAGAGGTTTCATGAATAATGGGAGACGGCAAATGCGCGGTCCTCTGTGCACTGGAGCTGCAAAACACCCCAGAGATTCACCACACAACTTTGCCCTGCTCTCTTTGTTTGCAGTGGCATCATAACTAATATGTTTTTGGCCTCTCATACATACTCATACCGACTGTCTGTTTGAGGTCGGACCCGATTAAAAATCCAACATGGAATAGAATAACAAGACTGTTCACTGTCAAATATCTGAAACTAGAACTAGTTCAGAAAACTGATTGACCAAAGAATGACATATATATTTCCAAAAGGGATATAAATGTCTTTTAACCTTTTTTTTTTTTTTTTTACTTTTTGGAGATCACAGGAAAAAAAAATATTTTGACTCCCATAATTAGTAAAGTATTATATTATATTATATTATACATTTTTTACAGTTGCATTGTAAGTTTTACTTTTTTGGGCCTCTTGGAGATTAAAGGAATAAATTAATTAATTTTGACTCATCCCTTAATCAGTAATAAAAAACAAAATTAATATATAATATAATATTTGTACAGTCGCTTTGCAAGTTATTCTTTTTGGCCTCTTAGAGATTAAAGGGGGAAAAAATCTTGCATTTATTGAAACATACAGTATTATATTATATAATATTATATATTATATTAGTTTGTACAATTGCTTTGTAATTTTTACTTTTTTTGGGTCTCTTGGAGATTAAAAGAAACAAATTGATTTTGACTCATCCCTCGATAACTAAAAAAAAGGTTTGTAAAAATTCTTTTTTATTCCTTTAATTTCCATGAGGCTACAAAAAAAAAAGAAAAAAGAAAAACTTACAACGCAACTGTACAATATTTTAATATAATATAATATAATATACATTTGTACAGTTGCTTTGTAAGTTCATTTTTGGCCTACTAGATATTTAAATCAATATCATTTGGACTCATACCTTAGTTAGTTAAAAAATAAAATTATATAAAAAATAAAATAAATAAAAACATATTATGTTATATAATTTTATATGTTATATAACGCGTTCGCCTCTTTCGTAAACACTACTTGCGGCAAACGCTGGGCGGGACTTAACAGGCAGCGATGTAGCAGCAGGCGTTGATCTGTGGAGGCGGTGCTTATCCACACCAATATATTGAAGTTATATTGACTTCAATATAAGCTGTTTTTAGACTAACAAGAAAGTTTTCAGTTCTGAAACTTACAAGATGTTTTTATAGTACAGTGACCTCTTATATGCCAAAAGATAAAAGGGAATTTTGGTTTCTCAGTTCATGACTCCTTTAAAAATAGCATTTATTTTATTGTTTATCACATAACATAAATGTGAAATTTGAATTTTATTTTAGACAAAATGAAGAATGAATCAAAAAATTTTTTTTATGGCAATCAAAAACTCAACTGTTGAACCCATGACCTTCCTTCAATAGTTGTAGCTAGTATATCGAGTACCTGACTTATAAACTAACCATATGGCACTCTGCTGTGATCATGTGATATAGTTAAACTCCCTCTTACAAAATATCATATTTCCTTAATGTTGCTGTGTCTGTTTTCGCTTTGTTCTGCAATGACAAAGAAATTCCTCATCTAAGCCCTTTACACAGCCCGTCTGAACCAAAGAAATGAATGTGTCACGCTAGAATTGCCATCATTCTTCTGCAATAAAAGAGGCTGGTGTCAGATATTGGCTTTTGTAAAGACCTGGACGGTGTGTGTAATTTGACTAATGGCTTCTTCCCGGTCAGAATCTGCATCTTTTGCTCCTGTCGGCTCTACGTGATGAATACAATTAAACATCCCTCTGAAAAATCACAGCAAAATGTCACGGCCAATATCGTTATTTCATTGTGTTCCCTCTGATCTGGGTGTCTAGGGTGCGGGATGGTTTCTGTTTAGATGATTGAGGCAGTGGAGAGGAAAACAACACGCATCCCATGATGCATCTGTCTCTGAATGGAGCATATTTACTTTCTTTCCACTCATTTTACTTTTACACAGCAGGAGATGAATTACCCTGGGAATGGATTTGGATGCGGCGCTCCCTCATTCCGAGTCTTTTTCTTCTCCCGTGTGGAGATTTGACAGACGACACGCGGGCTGATCGGGACCCACAGCGAGGTGAAGGGCGACTGAAAGACTTCCTCCAGAGACTCTGAAGCGCAGAATGAGATTGTGTGCTGCAGAAAAACAACGCGTTTGTTTGTTGTGTGTTCGTGCTTTCTCACCCCTGCTACCGGTGTGAGATTACAAAGGCCTCACGCACGGAAAGAGAGCAAAGGACATCACGGCAAACATTTGAAATCTAATATAAAACAGCAAAACTGAATGTCCTGCGTTTATTTCAATACACATTTGCAGTGAACCAGTGCTGGTCTTTTCTGTGTGCAGACTGATCACAATAGCATACTACTTTCTGCAGAGTATGTAAGCTGCGCACAGTATGCAAAAATTGTGCATGACCTACTAAATTTGGCAAAATGTGCAGCATGACCTATCCCACAATGCACTGTGCTTGATTCGCTTGATATTAGGGTGTATTTAGTGCATCATGTGCAGTAGGCCTATGTATCTCATTTACTTTTATGCATTTGGCAGATGCTTTTATCCAAAGTGACTTGCTTTGCTTTTACTTTTTCAATACATGCATTCCCTGGGAATTGAACCCATGACCTTGGCGTTGCTAGTGCCTGCTTTATCTTTTGAGCTACATCAAAACCTATTCACATAATATCATAAAAGACCCATACAACTGATTTCTATAAGGATTTATATAATAACCCAGATAACAAAAATATTAAGTTATAAAAACATTATTTCTGAACTTCCAGATTTTTAAAACACTTTTTTTTTGGCTAAACGAACGTTAAGAAAACATTCCATTTTAGAATTTTGCAAACATTATGGGAATGATACTTCTGAAAGTTTTCTGAACGTTCTGAGACAAGTAGTAACATTTAAAAAATGTTAGTCAAACATCCAACTAAACGATAAATGAACGATAAATAATGCTTTTGTGCTAAAATTTTGAGAACATTATGAAAGACCAGATAACTTTGAACTTGATTGTTTTCTATACAGACTGAAATGAATAACACAGCTAACAAAAATGTTCAACATTTTGCTAACGTTCCTATTAAGTTATGAAAACGTTATTCCTGCATGTTTTCTAATCGTTTAAAACGTCCAAATTTTTATTGAATA